TGGCTTTAGTGGTTGGTGTGTAAATTTGAAAAATAGTAGTATTAACTGGGCTTCCCTGTAGGTACATGGATATTATCCTATCACAGATAATGTTGTACCTAATGACTGATCTGGATATGTTCTTCTTGACAATGAATGCAACACCATTCCTCTTCAATTTGTCATTTGCGACATAGTAAACTATGTGGTCATCCGATTCAAAATGGTCAATACCAGTCCATTTTAGCTCACTAATGCCTAAGATACCGATTTTTATGCATTCCATTTCGTTTTTGACAACTTCCAAATCCACGAAGATTAGAGTTGAATATTAATAATAATATAAGAGCTGGTGCAAATGTTGGTACTAAAATAAATTAGGTACTTCACAAATTTTAAACATTTTTGCATTCTCAAGCATTAAGTAGTTATTATATTTAGTTAATATAAGGGGTAATTTAAAACCCAGAATAAGAGTATTATTAATTATTATACTTTGGTTGAATTAGAAAAAATATTTATTCATTATAATACTTAAAATTTGGTTTTGTTTTTAATAAGTGTTAAATGGTATTACCTTCATCTCTGAATGTGCTGATCCCATGAGGGTTAAATGAAGCCAAATTGAAGTTACTGCCAGTGATCTTTAGTTCCAGCACTGTTGGATTTTCCTCATTCAGGTTCATGAGAAGAATTTTTCCAGGGTTGTTGGGGTCAAAGCTCTTTATTCCAGGATATTTTAATCCCTTATGGAAATAGAAGAAAGTAAACAGCATACACAAATATTTCAAACACTGCCAGAGTTGCCAAGTGGTACATGGGTTCACCTGTTCTGTTCCAAGACACAGGACTGGCCATAAGACCACACATGAAGCCTCTGGCAGACCAGCTTGATAGGCTCATGGGGGGCTCGGAAACACACATGCTCCTGAGCTGCCCCATACAGCACACAGGCATAGGCCCTTCCAACATCCCCAGCAAAGCCACATGTGTACCAAGCCATAGCTTCTAGACAATAAGGAAGATGTTTTAAAATGTAAAAACAGAACAAAGGGATAATTACTAATGTTCTGCAATAATTTAAGCAAGGAATACAGAAAGAACATTGATTATGTTTTCAAAACTTTCCCCTGGCAGATTCATTGGTAGGACTCTAAGAGAAAGGGAGACGTTTAAGGAAAGTCCAGTAAACTTGAATAATTCCTCCTTTCTTAGCTTTGAATTAGAACAACAAAGCTATTACTTGCTTTATAGTTTAGGGTTTCATGTCATATTTTGCATGAAATACACATTCCATTACTTAAAAAAGAGTTTGCAAGGCAGTTTTAGAGGACAACTAGTCTTCCACCTTTATAAGAGAAATCTGGACTAAATAAGTTACAAACAGGCAGCAAAGACTTTTAATTGGCTGAATGACTTGTCTATTGTATCTTATCAACTCTGTTTGCTCTATTATAAATTGATAGATCAGATTGTTTGCTTATTTTGTTTTGAGTTGTTTCATCTATCATAGTGATTTGTATACCAGAGATGTCTAACAAACATGGTGGATTCTCCTCTTCATGCTTTGGTAATCATGGACTGACCTATCAACAATCTTTTTTCTTTTTTTAAGTTTTTATTGTGAATTTTAGGATAGTTTACATGGGGGAAACATCAGTTTTACACTCATCCTATTGTGTTTCATTTCATTGCAATGATTATAATTCCCTTCATGCACCAGCATTCAACAGTATATGCTTCTATTCCTTCTGTTTTGTTTTTTGTTTGAATGTACACCAAAACACTCAGGAATACATAATCATTCAAACAACCAAAGGGCACACATTGCAAGTCTGCTCCCCAGCCACCAGCACACAGCCCCTCTCAGTCCATGAGTCTAGAGTCTTCAGCTGCTCCATCTCTCCACATCATCACTCTGCCTTCATCTCTGACATCAC